ATCTCCAAAACAAATATACCTTTCACGGAAATTTCGTCAGTAGGAAATCATAAACCGGCATCCATGTAAACGTAGGCTATACAAGCACTACTATTGTCATGTTACGAAAATTTCGTCCGCGAGATCGACACCTATGTATACGCGCGATTTTTAAGACTTTCACCATGGACACTTAAGCCAACTTATTTCAACGAGGCAATACTTACTTCCCAGATTCACCATTTTATTTACCCTTTTCAATAGTACAATACATGTAACTTAAAATATTGTCTTTCTAAAATAATGCAAATGTTCCAAAACATAATGTGAGAATTTCCAAAACCTTTTTCCAAAACATACAGTTTCAATTTCCAAAACCCATTACATGCTCCATGATATGAATGATTTCAATTTGTCTAATCCACATGCAATTTCTAACACACGGCAATACTATCCTCCATTGATAGCCAAAACAGTTATCTCAAATGTAATGGCTAAAAGATAACAATACAGATATATTTTTCCAAAAAAATCCAACAATCATTCCCTTTCTATCTCTTTCTGATGGGTCGTTTCACACACCAAAAATAAACAGTAAACTATACCAAATTCTTTTAGAATAATGGCAAGTCCAAGTATCGATCCATAAGGACAAACAGGAAATTAATCTAATTTAATTTTTAAATTCCTAAATCAATTTTGATGTTCATAACCTAATAATAATTAAATTAAACAAAGCGAATAAACTAGTAATTTTAAATAAAGATGAAGTTATTGATTTGGGGAAAAACCTGGGCCAATGAGTTCACCATTAGTTACGTAAATAAGGTTTCAATTTGAAATCAATTATGCAACGGTTCAAGCAGAATAACACTTCGCAACTACAAGTTTGAAGCATTTATCAAGAAAATCATCACGTTCAATGTACGGGCACGAACCATCTCAAGTAGTACGAATCGTTCACTCTAAACTAGGGTAGCAACACAACTCATCCCTTGTAGTATGGTTCCTCTCATATCTTGAATATGAAAGAATAGAAAACTATTGTATAGAAAGCATTCAACAATCACAGAACGTCGAATACTCGAAGAAATAGTGAAAAATATATATACAAAACTTCTAAAACACCATACAATTGTTCAAACCTTTACATAATCAAAAACCAAAAAATAAACCTAATTACATAGTTTCATCAGAACCCTAGAAAAGAAGAGCCTAGCCACTCATGGAGGAGTGGGAAGAGGTAGAAGAGATGGAACCCTCTATGGGAATTTGCTTTGAAGATTGAGAATCACTTTTTTCTAAACCCTAGCCTTCTCTTTCTCCTTTGAAATTTTAGAACCCTAATCCAGCCTCTCTTTCTTCTTTTTATACCTTTATAATTTTTTCCAACATTGAAAACATCAAGCACGCTTCCCAAGGTAGGACCGTTCATGCGAGAATTTCCATTGCACGTGTGGTGAGGGTTTCGCACATGCGGGAATAGACCTCCGCACGTGCGATTTCTTTATGGCCTGTTTGGCTATGATGGATGGGCCGTACGTGCGGGAATAGGCCTCCGTATGTGTGGGAAACATTTTTCTCCGCACTTTCTATATTTTTTTTCATTTTATGCTCCCACTATATCCAACCTGATTGACATTAAACATGCATAAAATATATAATTTGACAAGCAAGTAGGGTTAAGAAATCTTAATTATCGGCTTTAGTGTTATACAATTCGGCCTCAATCACACCCCCTAACTTACAACTTGCTAGTCCTCAAGCAAGGAATAAAGAATGAAAAACAAATTAAACAAAATCTAGCTACCTCCTCTTTCGTGGGAAGAACGATTGCATTTAGCATATGCAATAAGCCTTTAAACCACAAAGTTATCATAAGTGGACGAGTATAGTCTCGTGAGGGTTTCCAGAAATGATACCCACAAACATTAACATATTCACATTTGCCCAACAACAATTAATCACACTACATAACTCAAGAATGAACTTATGTGACACTACAATGCAATATTAAGACATGATGAGTCACTGAAGGCACAGTAGACAAACATAAAAGAATCTATTGAGAAAAAATTGCAATTCAGTATTACAAAATTCAAGTTCCATGTACTTGTGAATGCTAGTAGACACATCATCAGGACCCTTGGTGTAAAGTGCAATCCCTAACTAGTTAACTATCTATTATAATAGCCTAGTGTAACTCATAATAACATCCAACATGTACAAAAAAGTAAATTGTCGTAACCAAGATTCTCATTTTTTTTTTCCGTGAAAAACTGTGAAATGTCCTGATTCATTAAGCTTTCTAATCAACCCATTTAACAAGCATTGGGCCAATAACTCTCAAACCAGACTGTTTTAGGGCACTAGGTGTGAAGACACCTCTACGGGCTTAATAACTCGAGCTGAAAAGGCTACGAATCTGAATAAATCATTTTCCTTATTTTTCTTTAATTGTGCAATGTCTAGGTCCCTTAAGATTTCTAATTAACCATGTAGAAAGTATTGGGCCAACGACTCCCAAACCAGACGATTTTAGGGCACTAAGTGTAGGGACACCCCTACGAGCTTAATAACTCGAGTTAAAGAGGCTACGAACCCAAACAAGTCAAGTGCTTTTTTTTTGGTGAGAATCAAGGCTACTCATTTATTATTTTCTGTAACCCTAGCAATTATCAATGATGTACACTAGGGATTATAATAGAGAGATCACCGCTATGATAGTGTGTTCATGTGAATAAAGACATACTCATGGTAAATGTACTAATACCACAACCACAAGCAACTATCCTAGTGCAAACATCACATGCAAATTTTTACCCAATAAACCCTTTTCATACAAGTCTACTATGTTCTCCAATTAGCATATGCTTATATCACTACCTCATTAGCAAAAAGTCAACATCAAGGGAAGTAGTGCAATCAAGTGAAATAGGTATAAACACGAATTATGAATTACGAGATAAGTAGAAGTACACAAAAGAAAATACCCTCATCCCCCAACTTGAATATGACATTGTCTGCAATGGAAGCAAATGCAAGGTAAATTAGAGAGAGAGAGAGAGAGAGAGAAAGAGTATTACCAGACATTGTAGGTGTACCTCCAGTTAGGCAGATATGAACACAAATATATAAAAGATATAAAAGATATAAAATAAACAACATACATACATTAGCAATAATAAAAGATATAAAATAAACAACATACATTAAAAATAAAAAATAAAACAGTAGGGAACAAAGGGACCGAGGTTTGTGTTGCACGTGCGGATTTTTTTTTTTTAAACCCAATTACAACCCTAAAACTTCAAACCATTTTTACATTCATTGCACGTTTGAAATAAATATAGTACTTCAAAAACATCTAAATACTCAACAAAGGTATAATCTTCACGCAAGAACCATGGGTACTACTTTTCCCCCTCCATGGTCGCAACTTTCCCTATTCTCCAACAGGGTGACATACTAGATTGATTTGATATCTAGAATTGAGGCGCCTGAAGCTAACTCGACCTATGGGGCTTCCATACAGAGTTTAAGCCGAGGCGGTTTTGAAGCAATCTCCACACCTCTGGGTATTTAAACAAGACTTTAGTCTCAAAAATTTCCAACGTTTACGTTCTAGGTTTTGCCATTTGAACTCTAGTTTCCACCATCTCAGTTGGTCTCCTAGGAACTCACTACAAACACAGTTAGGTGGCTATACTAGACTGTTAGATGCCGTTCGGGCACGACTAACACCAAAGGAATTACACCTTTAGAGCATTTAAAGTCTCCTAGACATGAAACACAATCACGCACAATACACAAAACACTAGTTTTGTCTTTTGTTTATTTATTTAGTTTTTTTTGGTGGTTTTTTTTTTAAAATTTATTTTTATTTGTTTATTTTTTTTTGTGGTTTTTTATTTTATTTTATTATTTTTTTTAAAGACGAAAACAATAGCATGCAACATATCTAAATATTTGTTAAATAAAAAACAAAAGCCTTTCCCCCCAACTTAAATGACAATGGTCTTAATGGCATATACTAAAAAGAACCGACAATGACAGTAAAAGGAAAGGGAAATAAAGCACAATAAAATATACATCCCTGAAATTCAGAGAAAGATGCCCCGCAACTGGAAGGAAACTATACTTGCAAAAGGGTTAGAAAATAAACACAACATTTATTTATTATTTATTATTATTTTTTTATTTTTTTGGAATCCAAGGCTTCATGTTGATCTTCTTTTAAGTAATCTACCTCACACCAAATTTGTTAGGTCGTACTTAGCAGTTCCATTCAAAAGTGTACTCATCTATTTGGCCTAGACACACCACACTGAAAACATACAAAACAATAAATAAAGAACTAAAACTAAAATGCTTAGGTTTCCTCCCAATAAGAGCTAAATATATTGTCTTCAGCCAAATATCAACACAAACTTATTTTTGCCTTTTCTTCCAATTTATGAGATATGGGTCCGTGTAACGAAAATAAATCAACCCGTCCAATAGTGCGAGACTAGGTGGTAAATGACTTGTGGGAGGATGATTAACAAAGTGGAGAATGTGTGTGTGAAAAGTATAGTGTGTAAAAAAAATCTTATAGGTGGAAACAATAAGATCAAAACCAAAAATAAAATCCCACCCATACTGATTTAATTTATCACTATAATTTTCTACAATTAAATCTCTATCAATTTCGTCCACATGAGAGGCCAAAACTATCGGGAGAGTTTCTGTTATATCTCCGGGTGCAACGGTAGGTTTAAGTGACAAAAAATACTAACTCCATATCAGTTGTTGGATCACTAGAGCGATGTGTTGTGGCTTCACTATGTTCAATTTGCAACTCTTTTAAAAAAATCTCACAGCATGCACTCTTATGAAAGTCTTGAACAACTTGGTCAAAAGAAATCCACACCTTAAATGGGAACATCTCAAAATTTTCAGTTGACCACATTGTGTCTACAAAATGACTTGTTTGAGAGTTCAACCCATTGTAAAAGAAAGCAATGAGTTAAGTCATTTTGTAGCCATGTTGTGGACAAGCATCTACATAGCTCTTGTATCGTTCCCAACAATGACAAAATAACTCATCCGCTTCCTGAGTAAAATTTAATATTTTTCTTTTGAGAAGAGTGAGGTTAGATAGAGGTTGTGATTCTTTCTATTTAAAATAAGCCAACATATTTACCCAATTCAGGGTGGCAAGAACGGTGCCCGTGCATACACCACTCACACACATACACACTAGGTTCCGACTCTTGTATGCTAAGTTACGAAAGCAAAATACCAAAGGAGAAAATATTCACAATGATTTAACGAAAACGCTTTACTTGTCTTGCGGGTGCTTGACGTGTAGATCGTTGTCTCCAATCTCCACTTGAGTTCTCTATGTTTTGCACTTTGGTGCTTTGCTTGCGAGTATTTAATTTTTTTTTTTTTTAAAAAAAAAACTTCAGTGTTGCAGTTTGTTTTTAAAGCTCGGTTGCGCTCCACTTGTACTTCGGCGATAGGTCCACTTGCAAAGACTCTGCCCACTTAGCAATACTAAAATATAAAATCCTAAGCTAAAAATCAAAATAAGAATATAACTTTAAATTAATTAATTTCGCCAGAAGTTCTTGGCAAAGGCACCAAAATTTGATTGGTCGTTCCACACACCAAAAATAAACACTAAACTATAGCAAATTCTTTTAAAATAATGGCAAGTCCAGGTATCGATCCATATGGACAAACGGGAAATTAAACTAATTTAATTGTTAAATTCCTAAATCAATTTTGATAAAAAGATTGATTGTTCATAACCTAATAATAATTAAATTAAACAAAGCAAATAAACTAGCACTTATAAATAAAGATGAATTTACTGATTTGGGAAAAAACCTAGGGCAATGAGTTCACTATTAGTTACATAAATAAGGTTTCAATTTGAAATCAATTTTGCTACGGTTTGAATGGAATAATACTTCGCAACTACAAGTTCGAAGCATTTATCAAGAAAATCATCACGTTCAATGTACGGGCGCAAACCATCTCAAGTAGTATGAATCGTTCGCTCTAAACTAGGGTGGCGACACGGCTCATCCCTCACAGTATGGTTTGTCTCATACCTTGAATATAAAAGAATAGAAAACTATTGTATGGAAAGTATTTAACAATCATAGAAAGTCAAATACTCGAAGAAATAGTTAAATATATATATACGAAACTTCGAAAACACCATACAATTGTTCAAACCTTTACATAATCAAAAACCAAAAAAAAAACCTAATTACATAGCTAGGGTTTTGTAGACCGCCCCGAACTCTCTCCGCACGTCTCCCTTTTGGAAAGGGCGCGAATTGGGTTCTAGCTACTACAGTTCGGACTCCTGTCACGGTTCTGAATCTAATCTCACAAAGTACAATGTAAGATTGATAAATCACCAAAGAGTCCAAATCCGGCTAATCGTTTTGGAAAATCGATTTTGAATGAAAAAAAGTGCCAAACATGGACTGCTTTGCCAGATTTTAGAGTCGCTACCTAAATATTTTGTTTTGAAAAATTTAGGAAACCTTGACTTGTGCCTAAGGCCACGTGTCTGTCATCACCAAAGTTGCCTCGGCTCGGGAAGTTGGGTACGAGAAGGAAAGGTCCTGAAATGAGTACCCCCGCTCGCTCGATCAAAGATTGGCCTCTACTAAATATGATATGTTGTTTTTGAAAACACATGTGTTCTTGTTTGATTATTAGCTAACTTACTACGTGATGCGCACAACACACAAGTATAGACTAAATCGCTCGATTTGGAACAAAACATCTCATGTTTGTTTTTCGAAAGTGGTTTAAAGACGCTACTCGCAAGTAGGCTAAAATGCGGATTTGCCACCCTCAAGTGGGCTTGAAAACATGATGATGTGCCACTCCGCAAAGTGGGCTTAAAACTCACATTTGTTGAATTGTCCCAATTCAAGCAATAAAGCATTTATCCACAGGCATTCATGCAGTTAATCATTTAAGCAACTAGCCTCATGGCAAGCATGCTAAACATGGCAACATTCGCACTCGTGCAAGGATGGTAAAGCATAAACACTCACAGTGTACTCCAAGCCAAAACAAAAGCTAGTTAGAAATCAATGCATGATCCTAACTATACAAGATGCCTAATGCAACACATGAAAAATGCAACTAAGTAGGCTTGACTATCTAAGATGGCATATGAATGCAACAATTGATACATGTATTCAAATAGGAATTGAAATACAATGCAGTTTAAATGATGTGCCGAGCCCTGTGCATGCAAGACAAATGAATGAATGCAAACATGCAAGCATAAGGTAAGCTAATTGAAATATGCCCTAAACTAACCATCAAAAGTTGATAAGTAAAAGGGAGAAAGAAATGGGGATTGGAAGACATGCACACACACACTCACCCTTATTACAACATTGTGCCCTCTCAACGGATGGTTCGAATGAATGAGAGCTAACTAGCTACGCTAATTAAGCTAACTAACTAACTAATGTAATTAAACTAATTAGACTAATTATTACAAACCAATCGAATAACTAGCAAACTACTTACTAATTATTACAACAATTAACTAATTAACAAATTAATTAATTACATTACAAAACCAAGCTAACTAATAATTAAAGCTTTAAACTATGCTGCCCCAGCAAGTTGAAGAAGTTTGAACATGCATGCCTCGGTTTTCGCCCCGAAAAGCTCTCCAGCTTGCTCTTTTGAGGCTCTGTCTGCAAGGTGTCTTCAAGAACTAGCTGCTGAAACTTACCAAGACAGTGCTGGGGAGTGCACCAGTGGCCTGCCGGCCATGAAGAGCTTCTGTCGGCCACCTGCCGGCCAAGAGTGGGCCTCTGTCGGCCAACAATGAGAGGGTGCCGGCCATCAATGTGGCACTGCCGGCCACTGGTGTGTTGTGACACCATTCTGCAACAGAGCACAAAATAGAGGAAATTGAGGGTCTCCCTAGGAACCTGTGTGTACCATGCCCCTCCTTATCACCTCAAAACATCAAAGGAGTTGCATAATTGAATCCAAGACCACCAATCAAGCATGCAATGCATGATGGCCAAAGATCCAATCTTGTACACATTCAATGAATGCAATGCAAACAAGACTCTAAATCCACAACCTCATCATAGATAATCAAAGGCAATGGAGACAAAGGGGATTGACTCACTTCATCACTTTGAGTATGAAGTGGACCAATCTATCTTGTGTTCAACATAACGTCCGGTTGAACACGATGCAATGCAACACAGCACATGCTATGCAAACAACATACTAAATTAGAGGCTATAACATGCTGAAATTGAAGCTCAAAAGACAAGACAAACATGCATACATGTTAGGCCACAAACAAGGTATAATACACAACCCTCAAAAGCTATGAAGAAGTGAAGTATATGAGAGTGTGACTACACTATATGCACTGAAATTACACGCCAAATGGTGCCATACCATGCAAACATCACATGCACATGTTAAAGGCCCCAAAACTCAAAGCTAGTTAAGGCCCTTTACACTACAACCATACTAAGCAATGCTCAAACGACCTTAACCATTCAAAACAGACCTAAGGCAGGTCAAAACAGTCGCAAAAACATGCTAGGCTCGCAGCATAGATGGCAAGAAAAATATGTTCATTTGATGGCACACAAACAAGGCATAAGGGGCAAAACTCTTAAACACAATGAAAGAGTGATAAACATGAGAGTATGACTTAAGTTTATGCTCTGAAATTACATATCGAATGATGCCATATCACACAAACATCACAAATATAGCATGCTAAGGGCCTCAAAACTCAAGACTAGTGAAGCCAACTATGCCATAGCTATACAAAGCAAGCCATACATGACCAAGACCACTTGGAACAGAGTTTAAGCATCCTAAAACAATGCCAAAAACATGTTGGAGTGGAGCTGAAACATGCTAGAATGATGAACCAAAGCATGAAGCATGTTAGGTCAACAAGTAGGATTACACTACAAGTACAAGATGCAAGCTACCAATGACTAAACCAGCCTAAAATAGAGTTATAGCAGGTCCGAAAAGTCACAAAAACATGCTCGAATCAGGCCTCAAAAGGGGAGAAATGCATGCTCATTTAGTAGGCCATTAACACATGCAAACAAGACAAGAGGAGAGGGGACCGCCCCTTCCTATTTGGGACCTCAAAAACACCTTTCCACCACTGAAATTCCTTTGGAATTCAATGGTTTTAAGGCCCAAAAGAGGTTGTTTGAAAAGCTTGAAAGATAACTCAAAAGGTTGTATAAGCCAAGGAGCAAAAGGGAGGAAACACCCCCCTAACCAAATAAGGCTTTAACCACCATTTTAGAACCTCAAAATCAGAGTTTTTTACAGTTGAAAACCATCCTTGAAAAGGTGGAAAAAGATGGCAAAGCAAGTGTAAAGACAAGCTTAAAGGGTGAAAGTTTTACCTCTTGAAGGGAAGCACACTTTGAAGCACAAAACCAAGCCAAAAACACCTTAAGGAGCTCCAAGAAGGCCTTTTAGAACCTCAGCCCAAAGATGAACCACTCTTGTTGAGGGTTGATAGGTTGAAGATGGATGTATGCAAGCTTCCAGCACAAAAGCTTTAGAGAAAGGATTGTAGAGAGAGAAGTTTTAGTGTGAGAAGCTCCCAAACCTTTTGCCAAAATGTTCTAACCCTTGAATATGAGATATAAGGCTTCAATATATAGAAAAATACAAGCTTTTGGTTAAAAATAGCTCAAGAGAGACAGCTGTAACCAGCTGGAGCAAAATATCTGCCAAAAACTGCTTTCTGCCATCAATAGCCGGCACATGACCATTGATGGCCGGAACTTGACCATTATTGGCCGGCATGGGACACCATTGGACGGCAGGGGGCCGGCCTTGGCCATTCATGGCCGGCACATGGCCCAAAAATCCCATTTATGGCCCACATTCTCCACCTCTAGTTGGACAGAAAAATCTGTTTTTTGGGCCCGACTTCAAATGGACATAACTCTTTTATCTGGACTCATTTTCAGGTCATTCTTGAGCCTAAATTGTAGCCCTTGAAGTCTTCTTTCTAATGGTCATAGCCTAACTTAAAAATTCCAAGTGTGAAAAAAGTTATTCCTGTTTGAGTTAAGACTG